CTGACAGAATATTTTTCCCATCTTTTGATTTCCTGGCTACTGGTGCCACGGGTGTTGACTGTGGATCCAAGCAAGATGAAGTCATTGACAATTTCTCTCTCTTCTCCATCTATCATGATGTTGCTTATTGACCCCGTAGTATGGATTTTTGTTTCCTTGACATCAAGATGTAATCCATATTGAAGGTAATCTTTGATCATCTGCAAGCAAGTGCTTCAAGTCCTCCTTTTCAGTAAACAAAGCTGTGTCATCAACATAAGGCAGGTTGTTGATGAGTCTTCCTTAATTCTTAATATATTCCAGTTTCTCTAATGATTTCTTCTGCTTATAGATTGAATAGATATGGTAAAGGATACAATCCTGATGTGTAAATTTCCATGACTGTAAACCTTGCTCTATTCCTACTACAACTTTCAGTCTATGTATAGTTTTTGCATGAACACCATTAAGTATTCTGGGATTTCCATTCTTCTCATGATTCACACAGTCAAATGCCTTTGCATAGTCAATAAAACACAAATAGACATCCTTCTAGTATTCTCTGCTTTAAGCCAGGAACCCTCTGACATCAGCTATGTTATCCTTCGTGCCACCGTTCTTCTAAATCCAGCCTGAATTTCTGGCAGTTCTCTGTTAATTTCTAGCCAGTTTCTAATGATTTTCAACAAGATTTTACCTGGTGATACTTTAATGATACTGTTTGATAATTTCAACATTCTATTGGATAGCATTTTTTGGGAATGGGAACAAATATGAGTCTCTTCCAGTTGGTTGGCCAGGTAGGTGTCCACTAATTTTCTGGCCTAGATTGGTATACATGTAAAAAGTTGCTTCAGTTTGTTGGAACTTGTCAGTTGATAGCCAGTCAGTTCCTGTGGCCTTATTTTTTTACTAAAGCCTTCAGTGCAGTTTTTTTTTCTTTCTACTTATATTTTATTAATTTTCATAAACATTTACAGAGATTTTGGGTTTCCATTCATTCATTGTTGCACTATTCTCTCTACCCTCCTCCCAGTTTGTTCTTGTCCAAATGCCACAGTGCTTGTCAAAGCCAGTTCTGATTAATCTTCTTTGTCAGTGTGTCCTTTGCCATTGCCTGTCACTCCTCCCTGAGAGAGACTTCACCCTGAGTCATAAGGAAAAGGGGATGGCGTATTCTCTTAGCTACTTCCTGCTGAAAAGGGACGCAGTTTGAACTTCTTCCTTTATCACCATTGGTTCTTAATCACATGCTACTTCCTAAAATGTTTCTTTGTCTGCCAGTTCTTTTTGGTACAGTGACTCAGTGTGTTCCTTCCATCTTTCTTTGATGTATTTCCTGGATCACTCAGGATCATCTTTCCATCATTGTATCTCAAGGCTGAATTTGTTTTTCAGTTCTCAGCTTGAGAAATGCCAAATGAGCCCTTCCCTTTTTCTTTTCCAACTCCAGTTCTTTGCACATTCCTTGATAATACTTCGCTCTATCTTCTCAAACTGCCCTTTTAAGTCTATTCATCTCATTGACTTCAGCAATTCTTCCCTTTTTTGGGCTTCTCGATGTTTTAGTGCAATTTTCAGAGTCTCTTCTGACATCCATTTTGGTTTTTGTGTTCTCCACTGTCTTTGTAATGACCTTTTTCATTTTTCCTGAATAGTATCTTTGGTGGTATCTCACAGCTCATATGCTGTCATGTAGAGATACTAATAAAAACAGTAATAACAACTCACACACAGCATGACAGCAAACAGAATTGTTGGTGGGGGCTTAGAGAGAGTGGAATTCTCATACACTGCTGGTGAGAGTATAAAATGATGCAACTATTATGGAAAGAAGTTGGGCACTTCCTTATAAAGTTGGGAGTAGAAATACCATTTGATCCAGTAATCTCCTAGATATCCCAAGGAATTAAGAGCTGCTACAAGGACAGATAGGGAGCTCTGGTTGCCTTGTAGCAAGAAGCTGCGCGACAGTCCTGAAGGCACGCAGTTCAAGGCCATCAGCTGTTCTGCAGGAGAAAGATGAGCACAAAGATAGAACCAATCTTGGAGGGATAACTAGGATGAGAAGGGAGAGGAGAGTAAAAATGATAAATTGGTTGAAGGGAAAGACAATACACGATAAATGATTGATTAGATGTAATTATATTATTATTATGTGCTGTCATAAAGGGTAATTATCACTAGCCATGACCACATCTAGTGCCTAAGTACTGGATTTTAGTACCATTTTCTAATAGAGTTGGAGAAATGGTTGGTTTTAGATATGAAGGGAATATACAAGATCAGCCAGGAACATATTGTTGTACTGTAAAAATAATGAGAAGTTTAAAGTGACCCAAAAAGTTTGTGATAATGTCATATGGGCAAAAGAGCCAGTTGAAAGAATTCTCAGTGCCCAAAACTGGAAGAAATTGAGCAACAAGATAGTATAATATATACTATAACATAGCATGTAGATAATATGTATGATATAGTATATAATATGTACTACACTATAACACAGTATTGCCTTATAACTTAACTGTCAAGAAATTAATATCTGTGTTTATTGTGATATAAATAAATTACTGAGCCAGGTCAACAAATTGTGAGATTAGACTAATCTTCCATAAAGAATAATTCCAAATAATTATATTGAGCTATGCATCGTGTTAGACTTCCAAAGACTCATAGGAAAGATGCTGAGGAGTAACTTTATATTTGGGAACTCTATATACACTATGTTAGAAAAGTGGTGACGGTTAACATCATCACTGATAAGTACAACAATGTACCCTTGACACCTCACCTCTATACTGATCTTTCCCCAAACCTATAACCCCAGTCTATTGATGAGAAAATATCAGACAAACCCAAATCAAGTAACATTCTGCAAAATACCAACTAGTGCTTCTCAAAACTGTTAAGGTCAGTCTGAGAAAATGTGACAAACTGGACCAGAAGAGACTAAGGAGATATGACAACTAAATGTAATAATGTTGTTATGCACAGTCGAGTCAGAACTGACCATAGCTGACCAGTGGGTTTTCAGAGATGTAAGTCTCATAGGAGGAGACTACCCATTTTTCTTCCATGGAGCAGCTGGTGGATTCAAACTGCATACCTTTGAGTTAGCAGCACAATTTCTTACCAGTAAGCCATCAGAGCTCCTTAAATTTAACAGAGTATACTAAATAGGACCCTGAATCAGAAAAAGGGCATTTGCTCAAAACTGAGGAAATAAAAGTTAAATACAGACTAGTTAGTAAAGGGAATGCTGGTGGCCTAGTAGGTAAAGAAGACCATGACACTGCAATCAACAAAAGTCTTGGGAAACTACAAATCAGTTGTCCCAGCTTCCTTAACAGATAGCTTGTATGAAAAGAAGTAGGGCTTAGGGGTAAGGTGGGGAATTTGTAGATTAAAATAAGAGAATATTTGGAAATGAATATGATTAATATGAGAAACTTTCTCAGTGAAAAGCCAATCACAAAAGACTGCATATGATATGGCCCTGTTTCTTTGATAATCTGGAAAAGGCAGAGAGCTAGAGAGGCATACTGTTTGCACTCAAATGCTAACTTGAAGATTAGTAGTTCAAAATCACCTAGATTGACAAGAAGACCCTATAAAGTAAATCTATTCTATAACACATAGGGTCTCTGTGAGTGAAAATTGACTCCATGCAACTAAACAAAACAATATGGAAACAAAAAAATTAGTAATTGCCAGAGGCTGGGAATAGGAGCATGGCTATACTAGACACAAAGGGTCTTTTGAGGATAATGCTCACTCGTTGCCCCTGAGCCAGAACCTATCCATTGGATTTCCAAAGCTGTAAATCACATGGGAGGAAATTACTTGTCTTTTTTTCCTTGAAGCCTCTGGTAGATTCAAACTGCCTGAGAAGCATGGTCCTTAGGTTAGCATTGCAACTCCCTATGTCAGAGCTCCCTTAGGCACAGAGTAGACAGCCAACACTTACATTCCTTGTTCTCACTTCATGTGATTGTGTTCAGAGTGGTGCTGAGACCCCCTGATTACTGCTTAACATGGTGGTGTTATGTGCCATCGAGTCGTTTGCAGCTCATAGCGACCCTATGTACAACAGCCCTAAATCCTGCTCTGTCCTGTGCGAATTGCACTGCCTCTGACACACCCATCCCGATTACCCTAGTCACTAAATCAATCCATCTCATAGAGGGTCTTCCCCTCCTGCGCTGTCCCTCCACCCTCCCAAGCATGATGTCCCTCTCCAAGGACCCGTCCCTCCTGGCAACATGCCCAAAGTATGTCAGACGAAGCCCCAGAATCCTTGCCTCCAAGGAGTAGCTTGGTTTAACCCTCCCCAAGATGAATCTGTTTGTTTTCTTGGCAGTCCATGGTACATTCAATACTCTTCTCCAGCACCACAGCTCAAAGGCATCAATTCTCCTTCTGTCCTCCCTAGTCATTGTCCAACTCTCTGATGCATAAAAGACCATGGCCTGTATCAGACACACCTTAGTCTCCAGAGAGACACCGTTGCTCTTGAGTACTTTAGAGAGGTCCCTAACAGCAGACTTTCCCATCGCAATACACTTTTTGATTTCCTGACTGCTGGTGCCAAGAGTGTTGACTGTGGAGCCGAGCAAATTGAAGCTGTGAACAATCTCAATCTTTTCACCATCCATCCTGATGCTACCAATTGGTCCAGTGGTGAGAATCTTTTTCTTCTTAACATTGAACCTCAGTCCATACTGAAGACTGCAGTCCTTGACCCTCCGCAGCAAGTGCATGAGGTCCTCCTCAGTTTCAGCAAGCAGGGTTGTGTCATCTGCATAACGCAGATTGTTAATAGATCTTCCACCAATCCTGACACCACACTTCTCCTCATAGAGCCCAGCCTCCTGGATAATCTGCTTTGCATACAGGTTGAAAAGGTATGGAGACAGGACACATCCCTGGTGTACACCCTTCCCAATTTTGAACCATGCAGTGTTCTGACTTAATTTCTCCCTACTTTTTCATTTTTTACACTTTAACAGAGCTCACAAAAGCAGCCCAGCAACAAGAAGTTAAGGAACAAAAAGAAGAGGCAGATGATGACAAAATGTTACACAGAGCCCGTGAATGGGATGACTGGAAAGACACCCATCCTCGGGGTTATGGCAACAGACAAAACATGGGTTAATCTACCCACCACAAGATGAAAGAGGGGCTCAACATCTCCTCCAAGGAAAGATGTATAGTCTTCCTCTTCGTTGGGCTCCTGCATCAACTGTGTACAATAAAAGCAAAAATTCTTCATGTTGCTTTGGGTTCAATAAAGTGTCAAATGATTGAGTGTGTATTTGTACCCTAGGTCATGAGTCAACAATCTTGTTTTCAGCATTATTCTCATTATGGTGTATTCTATGTATTCTAAATTCTTAAGTGAACAAAAAGAGCACTGATCTGTATAATCAATGGCTATATGAATTTTCTTTTAAAAAATCCTTTTTATCACATGACCCTATGCAAAACAGTGTATCAGCTACTTTTGTGGATGGGGACTTGTGAGTTAATTGTGAGTTTCTGGGCTTATGGAAAGAGCCCAGTTATTTTCATAAGCTCATTGAATTCACCAGCATCAGACCTGCTCAGGTTAGCTTGAGTTTTCTCCTTCCTTCACATGGTGTGAAGCCTGGGAATTAACTCTACATACACTCCTTTATAAGAGGGAAAGCCCAAAGGCCAGGATTTTACTGCCACACATCACTTTCAGGAATTAGAACAGTAAGTGACTAGACTATAAATGGTTAGACAGAATTTCTTAGTCCTGTCAACCTAGTCCTTGTCCAGAAGACATAATTTGAGCATGGTAAATTCAGTGTTTACTCAAGGTCTGCTACATAGAAGATACAGTAAAAATAGCAGTAGGGGAGTTAGAAAATAATCTCTCATTGCTGTTGAGTCAGAACCAACACAGTTGCCTCTCCATTGGGTTTCCAAGACATATATATATATATATCTCATGGGAGAAGAATGTTCATTTTTTTTCTCCTGAGGAAACACTGGTGAATTTGAACCACCAGAGCCACAACTTTTTAGATTATCAGCATACCTCACTAATGGACTACACCAACAGAGTTCTTTTATGTGCCATACAGTCCATTGCAACTCAAAGCAACCTTATGGACAACGGATCTGAACATTACCCTGTCCTGTGCCATCCTCATGATCTCTGACATGCTCAAGCACATTGTTATAAATCATTGTGTCAGTCTGCCTTGTTGAGGGTCTTCTGTGCTTTCTCTGACCTTCCATCTTTCCCAGAATGATGTATTTTACCAAGGACAGGCCCCTAATATCCAAAGTATGTGAGACAAAATTTAACCATCTTAACCTCTAAGGTTAGGATTGGAGCAGAGGCTGCTGTCAGCAGGATGGGCATGCCAGGAGCCCCAGGCAGAGGTCTTCAGGCAGTGGGGGGGGGGAGCAGCTGAAGGACTGGAACATTGTAGCAGAGGCTGCAGGTGATGGAGTGGCCCCACTAGGGGCCTCTAAGCCCTTGAGCCTATGCTAAGAACCAGTATCTAGATCTGCCAGTACCCATACCCAGGACCCTATCCTGCCATGCTACCATGGGCCTCACCTGTGGTCTAAATAAGGTGTCCTGTGTCATAATACTTGTATGACTGATTATATTTTCAATTTCCTTTTAGAGGTACAACAGCTATTTGTCCGTTATTAAGGAATGGTTTGTATGTTGCCAGTTAATTTGTGTCTTAGATGTGTATAGTCTTGAGCATTATTATTTCCTCTTACTCGTGCAGCAGTTGTCTGCCATTCTGCTGTACTGTTGTAGATTGTGGAGTGCTCTGATGCTGGAATCTTTGCCACCAGTGTCTCGGGTACGAAAAGGGTCACCCATGGTGGAGAGGTTGCAACAGAGCTCATACATTAAGACAGACTAGGAAGAAGGATTGGCCATCCACTTTTAAACAACGGACCTCTGAAAACCCTATGAACAGAGGGACATGGGTAGTATAGTATTAGACATAGAACCCAATTAGGAAGTCACTCAGAATGAGTAGAAACAGCTGTAAACAGTTGTAAATAATTGAAACGTGGAATGTACGAAGTATGACTGTAGGGAAAATGGAAGTTGTAAAAAAAATGAAATGGAACACAAGAAGATTGACATTCTAGGCATCAGTGAACTGAGATGGACAATCACGGGCCACTTTGAATCAATCACATGTCTATGCTGAGAATGAAAAAAAAAAAACCCTGAAGAATGGTGTTGCTTTCATAGTTAAAAAGGCAATTTCAAGATCTGTCCTGAAAATATAATGCTGTGAGTTATAGGATACTATCAATACCCATACTAGGAAGACTTGTTAATAGGACCATTATTCAAATATGTGCACTAACAACTAAAGCGAAAGAGGAGACGGACGGGTTATCAACTTTAGCAGTCCGAAATTGACTGAACATGCAATCCAGTTGCGTTAATAATTATTGGTGACTGGAATGCAAAAGTTGGAAACAATGAGGAAGGAATAGTAGTAGGCAAGTATGGACTTAATGATGGAAATTAGTCCAGAGATCGAATTTTGTGTGCTTTATTATTGATAGCAATTATCATTTTTTAAAAAACACAAGGACTTGGGTCTGACATCAGGGTGGGGGTATGACAGAAAAAACTGGATAAATTGTATTGAAACAGATGAGGGAAAGAACAGATTAGAAGTGATATATGATTGAGTATTATGGTTAGCACAGAAATCCAGAATTAAGGTTGCATAGAGAAGTGTACTCGGGGTGGGGGGTGGGGGAAAAGGACGTGTGAATTGTATACTAATGAAGGAATTTTTTTTCTTTTTCTTTTTTTTCTCTCTTTGGAGGGGGAAGTGAGCTGGTGGGGAGGGGTGGGCAGGGAGAAAATTGTGGCAATGAATGAATGGAAATCCAAAACCTCTGTAAAAAAAAATAAATTTACAAAAAAACAAACACAAGGACTTTACATATGGACCTTACATGATGGGTTGCACAGAAATCAGATTGACTGTATTTGTGGAAAGAATCTTTGGAGAAGCACAGTACCTGCAGTCAAAACCAGACCAGGTGCACATTGTGGAACAGACTACCAATTATTCATGTGCAAGTTTAAATTGAAGCTGAAGGAAATGAAAACTAGTCCACAGGAACCAAACTAGGACTTTGAAGTCTGTCCCAGTTGAATTTAAGATACATCTCAAGAACAGGTTTGAGCCATTGAACACGAATGATCAAAGATCAAGGAACTGTGTGAAGACATCAAGAATATAATCCTGCACACCCATGTTTATTGTGGCTTTGTTCACAAGAGAAAGGAGTTGGAAACAACCTAAGTGCCTATCAACAAATGAATAGATAGAGTAGCTGTGGTATATTCACACAATGGAATACTATGATGCATTGAAAAACAAGGAATTCATGCAATATTATTCAAAATGGGTGACCCCGGAGGACATTATGCTGAGTGAAGTATCCCAGTCACAAAAGGACAAATACTGCACGGTGCCACTGTTGTAAAACAGGACTGGCCTCAGGGTTCGGGGGAGACTGAGAAAGATGGGTTCAATAATGTATACTGCATTGAAACAGATGCGGAATAAAACTGTTTAAAAGGGATATGTGATTAGGTATTTTTGTCATGATACGAGTCCAGGGCGAAGGCTGGACTAGACTGGAGTGGACCTGGTGGAGGGTTTGTAAAACAACGAAAGAATTTTACTTTTCCAAGAGGGTAGTGTACTAGGGGGGAGGGTGGGGAGGGAAGAAAAGTGCAACACTGAATGAATGGGAACCCAAAATCTCTAAATTTTCATTGAAATTAATATTTTTTAAAAAATTATAACTTCAAAAAAACCTCAATATAATCCATGAAGAGAGCAAAAGATCATTTTACAAAGGAGGAAGAAAAAAAACATGGATATCAGAAGAGACTGAAAAATGCATTCTAGTGTTGAGAAGCCAAAACAAAGGAGATGCCAAGGTAAAAGAGCTGAACAGAGGATTTCAGGGGGCAGCTCAAACAGATAAAATTATTATCATGAAATGTGCAGAGAACCCAAGCCAGAGAATAAAAAGAGAAGAACTCACTAGGCATTTCTCAAGCTCAAGGAATTGAAAAATTCAAGCCTTGAGTTATAATACTGAGAAATTTTATGGACACAATTTCGAATGATCTAGGAAACTTCAAAAGAAGAAGGAAGGATTGCATAGAATAATTCTACCAAAAAGAATTGATTGGCACTGAATAAATGCCAGGAAGTATCATATGAACAAGAGTCAATAGTAATGAAAGATGAAGTTCAAGCTGCACTGAAAGCATTGGGGGGGAACCTCAGGAACTGATGGAATACCAATTGACATGTTTCAACTAACAGATACAGCCCTGGATGTGCTCACCAGTTTATGCCAGAAAATTTGGAGGACAACTACCTGGGCAACTGACTAAAAGAAATCCCTATTTGTCCCCGTTTCCAAGAATGGTGATCCAACAGAATGTGGAAATTATTATACAATGTCATTAATATCTCATGCATGCATAACATTGTTTAAAATAATTCAAAAACAGAACAGAGTCCATAGAACCAGGGATATCATTATTGATGTCAGATGGACTCTGGCTAAAAACAATAATAGAAGAATGTCTATTTGTGTTTATTGACTATGCAAAAGCATTTGACTATGTGGATCATAACAATTTATGGTTAACATTGAGAAAAAATGGGAATACCACAACACTTAATTGTGCTCATGAAATCTATACCTGGAACAAGAAGCTAATACCTGAATGGAACAAGGGAGCACAGCATGGTTTAAAATCAGGAAGGGTGTGTGTCAGGGTTGTATCCTTTCTCCATACCTATTCAGTCTGTATGCTGAGCAAATAATTTGCAAAGCTGGACTCTATGAAGAAGAATATGGCATCAGGATTGGAAGAAGACTCATCGACAACCTGTGTTAAACAGATGACACAATTTTGCTTGCTAAAAGTAAGGACAATATGAAACTCTTGCTGCTGAAGATCAAGCCTACAGGTTTCAATATAGATTACATCTCAACATCAAGAAAACATGTCCTCATCACAGGCCCAACAGTCAACATTATTACTAATGGAGAAAGGATTGGAGCTGTCAATAGTTTAATCCTCCTTGG